CATAGAGGGGGAGGATCACCTCCTTGGACCTGCTCGAGATGCATCTCTGGATGCATGACAAGGTATGGCTGGCCTTCCTGACCGCATCCCCACACTGCCGGCCCATGTTCATCTTGGAGTCAATGATGACTCTCCCTTTCAGCATCCACTCTCCACCACTGTGACACAGGATGCTGGATAAGATGGACCTATGGTCTGACCCAGTAAATGTCAATTCTTATGTTCTTAACGGATGACCAGAAGTATGATGAAGGTTGTAAGCCTGGTGCATAGTTAGTTGCTCATGTTGGACTCATTTTCATCATTTTATCCTTCATATCCCCAGATTATGCACTTTATTCCAGCCATTAAGGAAAAAGCCTTCTATGAAAATGGTGCAGTAGTGTACAGCAGCAGCTCATATCTTCAGCTCTGGCCTCTGCTACAACCTCTAAATAGGCCCTATGTATTGCAAATGGACTCAGCTCCTGGGTCTGTGTGTTTCAAAGCCGTCCTGAGTCTCTCAGGCACAGACTCTATTTAACAACCTTCTGAGGCAGTGAGAGAGAGCTGTAACTTGGAACTCCCTCACCTCCCTCCCCATGGTCCAGTTGCCTGAGACCTCAGAATCAGTGCCCCACCCTTCGGGCCTTCAGTTGCTTAGACACATTTTCCCATAACCCTGGCTGTTGAAACTCTGGTTTCCAGTTACACTTCTCAGGTACAACAGATCAATAAGGCTAGGGACATGTGGCTTGTAAAAGACTCTCTTTAACTGCACACATTTCACTTTTAACAGGACTGGAGGGTTCCAGTTTTGGGAAAAACAGCAGCAGCCTGAACTCAGCACCTAGATCTGATCTAGCCCCTCTTTGTAAGCCCTGCCAGTGTCCTTCAGTTAGGCAGTTCTTCTTGCTGTTCTTAGCTTGGTATTCTTCCATGTACTTGTAGCATATTCCCTTGCTTAGAAAAGCAGCTCTCTTTCAAAAGAGTATTTTTCCAGATTTTGTCCATAAACTCCAGGTGAGGGAGTTCCAACTTACAGCGTTCTCATGTTAGCTTAATTCAGGGTCATAGTCTTACTGGTAGAAAATCTGTAGTTCCAGTAAGGAGGAGTCATTCCATATTGATGGCTCTTGTTTGCTGTGCTACAACTTTTCAGCTCTATTAACTATGGCTGAGATCTTCGTATGGCTCAGTCTTTGGACAACTTCAATAACACATTGGTCAGGCCGCAGCTGGAGTACTGCGTCCAGTTC